CGCGGGGAGCGCGGCCACGCGGACCGCCCGGCGTGGGGGATGGCCGGCCGGCCGCTCGGTCGCCCCTCGGCTCGGCCTCCCGCGCCCCGCCGCTGACTCACCCGCCGCAGGGCCGGCCCCGGGCCCGGCCGCTTTCCAACCGCTTCTGAGGGCGCCGCACGGAGCGCTAAATTTAGAGCGTTTGGCCGGAGTTACGCAAGGCTCCTACGGAATCCCGCAGCCTTCCTTAGGGCAGCGCTCGGCCGGCTGGTGACGGTCATCGTCCGACCCGCGGCGGAGCTCCCCGCTGGAACGGCGTTTGACAGAAATGGGCACAATGGGTGGCATCGTTCAGAACGAAGGAAGCGACGGCCCAATATACGGCAAACCTCTTTTACTCGGCTTGGTGCCCACGCGCGGCCCCCATGCTCCTGTTCCACACATCCCTTGCGTCAGGCACGGCGTGCAGCCTCTCACCCCCTTACCGCAGGCCTGCCCGCGTCGCAGGCGTGGTGCTGGAGGCATGGGAAGTCTGCTGACTGCACAGGCTTTGGCAGAGTGGGAAACCATATTTGGCATCCCAAATCTAGGATGCTGCCCTGAGCCATTGCTTTTGTGCTCAGGCAGGTGCTGAGAAAAGGTACGAGCAAAAAGCATTGTACAAAGGAGAAGGAAAGAGGAGAGCACCAAAGCATGGCGACGATGGCTTGGCATATCTGAGCTGCACCATGCTGAGGCAGTAGCCAAGCAGTGACATGACACAGCTCATGGCAAAGGAGACAGAGCAGTTCTGGCCACAAGGTCCCTCCAGAACAACACCTCTTGCCCATTTTACCATGCTATGACATGCATACAGCTTCCCCAGGCCAGGGAGGTACTGCTGTGCATCACTGCCCTTGGCACTCAGCAAGCCCACTCTGCTTTTCACCTGGACTTCCCACACACAGCACGGCATGCCTACTGACTAACTCTCACTTCTCCAATACTTCTCCAAGTCAGCTACAGCCGAGGCCATGTCAGTTTCTGACTGTGGAATACTGCTGCTGGCAGCGACTTTTGTGGAAATTATACCCGTTGCAAAAATACGTCTTGTCTTTTGATAGCTGGTTAGTATTCCTGCGTGTAATGCAAAATGTAACTTTCTACAAATGCAGTTAGACAGCAACCAGTGACGCTGACGCAAATGACTTCCTTCACGCACCAGCGATCACCTCATTTGCCTTCTGTTCATCAATACATACTTGCCAGGAAAACACTCTGAGCCTTCTCCGAGCAGCTTCGGTAAACCACAGTATCAAGCAAAACACCAGGCATATCTCCCCATTCCTCCTCCCCCCTACTTGTGGTAGCCTCTATTAACCTGAGTGGCCTTGGCGTTAGGGCAGGCAACACCAATAATGAGACAAAGAGATCTGAAGTCCAGATTGAAGAGAACTCAGAATGATGAAGTCAAATCTGCCTGTAACAGGAGTAGACCATTTCCTGATCATAAAGGGAGTTTCAAACCTGATCGAGTCAGACTGAAAGGAAACCATTTTCAAGTATCAATGCATTCATTTGGATTTGAAAAATTTTTCTTTTTTGTTATTGTTTTTGCATCCATGAACCTTTACAGAGTACATACAATGGTTAAAGTATTGGTCATTCTGAAGGACAAGGAGGCTGTGGATGCCCCATCCCTGGAGGCATTCAAGGCCAGGCTGGATGTGGCTCTGGGCAGCCTGGTCTGCTGGTTGGTGACCCTGCACATAGCAGGGGGTTGAAAACAGATGATCATTGTGGTCCTTTTCAACCCAGGCCATTCTATGAAGAAACAAGAAATCTTCTGCTGAATTACTTTATATACGAAAGACTTCACCAGCAGCCCAGAAAAGATGCTGCTGGGTAGCCACCTTCATTGGGCGTGCCTGGGATCACTGCACTGCCTGTCTCAGGTCAGGAGAGAAAGGCATCCCATCCCAACCTCTGGTTCTGCAGTAAATCCACAGCTGCAGAATCCACATCCACACGTAACTTCTAGCAAACTATTTGCCGTTTGATACGAATTTTTGCAGAATTATATTTGCATTTGCTACTCATTCCTATAGGAAAATGTAGCAAGATAAATAAATAGGAAGCAGATTGCACACTGTTGCTCTTTGCAAAGACACATGCAACAGTTTCCACTTTCCTGAGAAAGGATGAACTACAGATGCTCTTGCGGACCTAGAGAATATGAGGAATTTGCAAAGCCAGATGTTAACAAGTTGATAAAATATAGCACACAAACTTAAAGTCCTCCCTGGGGAGGAACGCTGTGGAAGCTAGAAATGTAAGAGGTATGGTTAACATGAAACAATGTATACATCTATACCATACTCAAGTTGAACTGAGTCACTATGCAGCCACACAAAGGCTGCACACAGTATATTGCGTATTAAGAAAGTTACACTGAAGTAACGTTTAACATCTGAGAAGTTGGGTCACTCAGAGTTTAACATCCACTCGAACAATGAAAGAGGCATCTATAATTGAAATACCTGGAAGTACTGCAGTGAATTTCAATGGAAAAAAAATACTGTTTTCTATGAAACCTGCTATCTCTGATCAGATGCCAGAGCAGTGAAGCAGACAGCTAACAGGTCAGAGCACCGTGAAGGAGCAGCTGGAGGCAGGGGGGGAAGTAAGAAAAAGGTTCATATCCTTTCATTCGTACCCCTTACCTCCAAGTCTTTGCAGCATTCCCAGCCTGGACACGTAATCCTCTATGGGAGCAGCTGGAGTTATCCCTGATGCAAAAAGAAACGTGCCGACACCAAAGCTTGGCATTACTCCTTTCTTTGAAACCTGCAGATACTGCTTAAAACTTGATTCATTGGCAGATCAGACGCTGTTGAAGCCTTGATATCATGCCCTTGAAATGAGAGCAAGCACTGACAGCTACTTGCAAGAGACGGAGAAGCTTACCTCCCTTATTTTCTTCTCACAATGAACAAAATTACTGAAGTGTTATAGCAAAGCACAAACACCCACCTGCAAACAAGAGAGCTAATTATTGCTGTGGAGCAACTTTCTTCTGCTGGGGGAAAAAAAAATGCAAAGTAGAGTCTCATCTGAGAATCATTAGCTGTCTCAAAATCCTCTTGTGACTGAAGTGTTTCTTTCCGATATGAAGTATTAGAAATAGAAGCAAAAAACACTCAGAGCTTCAAAAGATTATTGTTTCTTCTAAGGCTGAAGCCAATCCTTAAGCACCTGTTGGGGCAGCTCTCAAAAGATGCCCTCGGGTCACAGCACAGCCCTTCCATTTAATCTGCAGAACTCTTTTTCTGCAGCACCTGAAGTGCTTTTTAAGAAGGGATTTCAGAAATGGGGGAAAAGGGTCTCTCCTCCTAAAAAGGTCAGCACATTCAGACAAATAAAGTACTAGCATTGCCACAAAGCACCTATTCTCTTCAGAGCAAAACATGTGTGCCAGCTTCAGTTCCCAGGATCTGACAAGTTCAAAGATTTGTGCACATGGAGAACACCTATTTATCTGTCTCCTTCTCAAACAGTAATACAGAATGGAGAGAATTGCCAGCAGCTTTCAAACCATATCTATTGGTATTGGGAGTCTGTATCCTAAACACATACCAGTACACCTACCAGACAAGAATCAAAGATGACATCTCATAGCCCTATTACTGAGGAAAAGTTACTGCATCTCTTACCTAAGAGTTGGAGGAACTGGATGCCCTGATATGCCAAATAGGATTGTTTGGGAGAAATCGCCCTAAAGCACTTAGCATTCACCTAGATAAGAGGAAATAAAGCTGCCACTCCTTAAGTGCTCAGAAATCTCAAGTCAACTGTCTCTCCACACCTCCTCCCCCAAAAAAGAAAAGGGTAGTTTCTATTCTATTTTTGAGGTGCACAGTTAATGCAAAACAACAACAACAACAACAACAACAAGCATACACCTATTTGAGTTTTCTTTAACATCATAAGAACAAAGCTGTCTAAAAATTAAAGCAGAGATTCTCACAACTTTACAAACTGGGATTCAATCATTACGATTCTTATCACAGAATCATTATAGAATGGCCTGGGTTGAAAAGGACCACAATGATCATCTAGTTTCAACCCCCCTGCTGTGTGCAGGTCGCCAACCAGCAGACCAGGCTGCCCAGAGCCACATCCAGCCTGGCCTTGAAAGCCTCCAGGGATGGGGCATCCACAGCCTCCCTGGGCAACCTGTTCCTGTGTGTCACCACCCTCTGTGTGAAAAACTTCCTTCTAATATCTAACCTGAACCTCCCCTGTCTCAGCTTAAAACCATTCCCCTTTGTCCTTATATGAAGTAGGAAGAAAAAAAGAAATACATATTTCTCCTCCTGACACCAAGTCCTTTGAGGTCCTAGCTTTGTGGAGGTGGTTAGCTTTAAGTTTAACCCCATCATTTTTGTGGAATTTGTAAGAGCATGCTGCTTTTAGCATTTGGAGTTTGGGAACATCAGACAAACCCTTGTATAAATACTATTAAAGAGCCTCTTAACCTCATTTCCTTCACCTATCAACTTCATCAGACGCTTTTAAGGACAAGCTTCCTACAGTGTTGTTTTTTTGTTTTTTTTTTCCAGAATGTTGGGAGAGAAAAATCAACATGATTTGGAAAATTTCATCAGGCCCTTCAACAGCACATGTAAAGTTATGGCACTCTAATTGTTTGTGCTATTGCAAAGAGGGTACTCATATTTGACAGATCCTGGTCAGGTTGCTTAATGCATTCCAGGAGAGCAGTCAGATATGCCACCAAAGCACACACAGCCAAAGATTAGCACATTTAGAAAACAACACCAACCAACAACAACGCACAGTTGCACTTTTTTTGTGCTCACAAAACTTCAGAGCTTTTTGAAAGCTTCTCACTTCCCCCTCTATTTTCTTCTCTTACTCAGAACCAGCAACGATCACACATGCATCAGCAAGACTGCATGACCACAGACGTTACCAGCAACAGTCTTATGGCAATCAGGCATTCTGATGAAACAAAAGCAGTGAAAAGCATTCTTCTAGAAAACTGGACAGACAGATAACCACGTCCAGCCTGTTAATACATCAAGAGTCCCAGCCTCTCATATGTGCTTGTTTTATCAGGTTTGACACTTCTCAGGTTTTTCATATATAGATGACTGTGTTGTTCACCCCACAGAGACAGAGCTCTTATTAGACATTAAAGAAAAAACTCCAGACTGGCAATACAGCAAGATGTTATTTTTTCAGAAACTGTTATCCTCAGCAAACTGCTATAGCTCACGCTGCAAATCCTGAGGCACACAGGGAACTGGATGGACCACAACAGAACTGTGTTTCTACACAAGCAGATGCAAAAACAGCAGATTACAGCGCGCAGTTTAACAAAGTGCTGCAGTCTACTTGTACCATCCTTCCCAAATACAGGCTTTGGATTACTTACAATCAGCATTTATGCATAACTTTTAATACTGTCAGACTAGAATTTAGATGATTCAGACCAGGTTTAAACACACCTCGGAACAGCTGCTCCTGCAGACCTCCAAACAGTTACAGCAATCACCCTTATGGATTCAGGAGGTTTACTCATTCATTTGGAGGGGAAAAAAATGAAAAAGAAACAGCACAAATGCGTCAATAAGGAACTGGAGAAGTCTTACAGTTTAGGAACGATTCAGGGATACACCTGGGCTGTTTCTAGATCTTAAAGGATTCAGTTCACTCCAGCTTTTATTTAATCTTTAGGAATAAAAGACTGGGGAATTGACAAATTCTACAAGACATTATCAGCAACAGTAATTTAAATACACACTGAAAGCTGAATGCTATAAGAATAAAGCCTACATGATTAAAACTCATCATTTAAAAGAAGATAATCAGATACAGAGCTCCCTCAGAAGCATAAATCAGTAAAACTCATTTTTGCTCCTATTAGTCAGAAGGACTGAAGCACATATTTTGTAATACAAAGTTTCAAGCTCCTTTTTGGAATGGAAAATATTTGTCCCAGTTATATAAGTGCAGCCTGGTATGTGGATTACTTCTAAATCCACGCATTTTATGCATGACTATCTGGATACGACAAAAGAAAGTGGGTGACTTCCTAGCAATTGGACACAGATACAGAGCATCTGCTGGCTACTATTTGGGACTTGACTGGCAAACACTGTGAAAATGCTTAAGCTTTACTGCAACTCAGATACTACAATTAAAAAAGAAAAAAGATTAGCGGCAACTCAGATCCAAGCGAGGTGTAAGATTTTAATTGAACTGTAAACATGTGAAACAGCTGAGAGCAGAACAAAATCTTTCTAGTATTTAAAGCTTCCCAACTGATCTTGTTTCAACAGAAAAATGTATTGATACAGGACTTCTTAGCAAACATTTACGCTTCGTGGAAGTCACTCTAGACCATCTGTGGCTGGAAAATTCTCTTTTCTGATCAATTTAAAGCTTTCAACTCTATTATTATAAACATCATGACCTGTTTTTGATGTGAGCACATCACTATCGTCCACCCAGTATCCAAAGAGGTAATTACAGTTAGAAAGCACAGGACAAGCTGAAACAAAACAAATCAAACAAGCAAACACCCAACCAACCACACACACAACAGGGAGAAGTGCTTTAACAGTCTGCATCCACGTATCTCTACAATTTGATATAAGAATATCTTCTGGCACATCTTATTATGCAAGAAGTAAAGTTAATCATATCCTCAGTGACTCTGGGGAAAAATCCCTGCTGTCAGAAATTTACCTTTTTGGAGGATGGATGACTGCACTGCTGTCAAAAATGCATCTTTTTCAGTGGATGGATGGCTGCAGAGGTAATGCCTATTTTCAATTAGCTCCAAATATCTGGCAACTCACACTCTGTGCTTAAACACTGAATTCTGTTTTAATATTTGATTATAATTTGCAATGATTTGCAATTTAAGAAAGTCTTCCAGAACCCAGAGTTCACATTTGCAATGTTTATTATGAAATACATTCACAGTGCAACGCAAATTACACAAAAAGCTATACAAAAAAACATACAAAAGACTACACGAAGCACGTACCATTCAGTAATGCATGCAATATCTGATATACTCTTAGTAAAGCTAGAAATGTCTTAACACCCATTAGCAAGAAATTGAAGTCAAAGATAAATAATTGGATTAAGAAACTCCTTCATTATTTAGGTTTTTAAAAATTAAAAACCCCTTTATGTTGCTTAGCATGCAAACAATGCAAAAGAAGCAACACCCTGCTCATTTCCAGCATGTAAAAAAGGTTTTCAATGTTTCAAGACAAGATTAATTTTCAATCACTCATTTTCTCCTTCATCAAAAATAGTCACAAAAAGCAATTCAGCACTTTGCTTCCTGATCAGGTCAAAAATACAGAAAATAACCTGTAACACACACATAATCACATGTCAGCACATAAGATTAGAAACATCACGTGTAAAAGTTTAGAGATCAAGATGGTCCACTACAGGCAGTGCTCAGAGAAGTCACATAACGACTGCTTTGAAGTACATTACACAGCTTTATTCATATCAGAAAAATGCACTTGCAATATGGACCCAGAATAATTCCAGCAGTATTCATTGATGAGTTGTGCTTTGTGCACAGACCTAAGGTTTGTAGCTACTTCCCATAGCCTCACCTCACCACATCATACAAAAAAATAAATCCTAGCTGGCTAAGAGCAAATAAGTGGCAATTTCTTCTACCAGTCAGATTTAGGTGGCAGTTTCATTTTATTTCACTCTATCGAATAATAACATTTTACAAGTGACATTTTTCTGACCTTCAGTATGCTAATGGTTTCGTGACTTCAGGAGATATCCTTCCTTATTTAATCTATGCATAACTTTAATGAGAGGTCCTAAGGACATATTCTCAATATCTAGTTTAAACTGAGGGCATGTATTTGCATAGTAGCAACAAAATGACAGCTCAGAACGTCTCTTGGGCATGACAGAATTATCAAAGAACCTGTTCTCCTGAAATTCACGTGCTAATTCTAAAAACAGCTAGCAAGAGGTGTGTATTCAGCCTCCCACTTGTGGAACTCTAAAGCTGTGAAATGGATGAACTGTGCATCTCAGCTGAAAAAAAGGGTTCAAGA